CACTACTGCATCAGCCCTCACACGTTAACAGGGAAGAAAAATCCCCCCCCAGATTTAACAAAACCTTCTGGCTCATCCTTGATCCTCTTCGTGGAACCGTTCCGCTCTGTTTCTTCTCTAGTTGGCTTCCACAGTCCAAGATCTCAACACAGCAAAGCACTGAGAGTTCAATTTCCAGTTTTCTGCAGCATTCTTTTAGCAGACAGTCCAACACGAAACCTGGCCTTCTGACAGCAGATATTCTGACGGCAGATGGCTGTGTTTGCAGTCCAGAAACCAAACGTGATCCGTGGGACGTCCCATGACAGCACTGTGTTCCTTTGAAGTCCAGCCACTCTTTACCTTCTGTTCTGTAGCACAGCTCGCTATGCCCTGCACTCCTGTATTCACACTCCCAGAACTAGAGTACAGCGTGATATCACAAGATCTGTTTTAGGCTCAGAACCTTCGTGCCTTTAAGGCTCACTCTTTAGCTCCTCTGCAGTTGCACAGAACGATTTCGCCACGTTAAACACACGTTTCAAACAGTTCTCATCCACAGATCTGGTGATATGACTGGGTTTCCAATCTCTATGACCCTGCATGACCTGGATTCTCCATCATAACAACGTACACTACAGTAATGAATTTAAAAGGAAACGGATATAAAAAAAGATTAAATGAAGAATTTAACTGTTTTAAAGCCCTGGATTTTGGTTGGTTTGTTTTTTGTTTTGTTTTGTTTTTTTAAATTAATATTTTTATAAACAGTACCTGGTTCCAAAGGCAGCTCTTCAATTTCCTGTGGGGAAGGGGGAAGAGAAATATCAGTACTCAACAGCAGGCCGAGATGTTACCCAGCACGGAACACATCCCTTCCCTCGCCGTGGTTCTCCTGATCTCAGGTTTGAAACCACTGCATTTTAAAAAGATTTCTCACAAGATTTAATGTTACTTTTTACGGTTTCCACTCCCTAGGAAGACGATATGACACGTATGAAAGCTTTTCATTTGTAAAAACAGGTCACAATTTACCTTTATTTCAATTAATTCAGACGAAGCGGCATCAAAACTGTTTCCAACGTCTTCCACCTCCACCTGGAGAAAGCGCAGAACAGAACAGACACCTCGTTATCTACCACATCACGGCACTGGAAGTGAAACCCGGATGAGAAACCCAAGGCTGGAGCTGATTCTCACTGCTAAGCGGCACGCCAAGATCTCCAGTGCCCAAAAGAAGGAATGAGGTTAAAATCTGACCAATGGCTGCCGCTGAAATCCTCGCTACCTCTGAAATACGGGATGGCTCACAGAGATCTTTTAAGAAGGTCAATCCTTCCTGCAGCGTTTCTTTTACACCCTGTGGCAAACAGAGAGCCAAGAAACCTCAGTGAGCAGTGAGGAACATGCTGAGAAAAGACTGCAGCATTTGACCCAGATTCTGGCACTTTCCTCGCTGAATTCAACCCTGCTTTCTCAGCATTCACGTTTGTCCTGAGGGTAGGGAATGCTGGAGGACAGAGCTAAGTCTACTGCTGTAACTGCCAGAGTTGGGAAGGGAGGCAAAAGTCCCCGTCTGGGGAGCTGACAGACCGGGCTGATGGAACAAGGGCTGCACCTCCCATCAGACTGCACACAAAGAGCATTCTTCAACATCCTGTGGAACACCGCAGGAGGTAAACCTGACTTAAGGAAAGACATCTTCTAGCAGAAATGAGTACTGTGGTGAAGTCAGGGCAACAGGCAGACGAGCATGGAAAACCAACCTGTAAAACTCGAGCAAGTGCAAGGCCGTATCTTGACAAAAAGAAGCACCTAGAATACATGCGTGCTGCTGTGCAGCTGAGGAGGTGAAACATACAGAGGCAGATAAAAGCAAAGGAAAGATATGAAGATGAGAATGAAGTATGAAGTTATTAAAACGTTGTTTCCCAGACTAGAGGTGACATATATGGACATATGATGTATACAAAAAACACCAAAGCGTTTAAAAATCAAGAATATTTCCCCAAATATGTAAAGGAACAAAAAGCAGTGATGGAGAGAAGCAGTAGAGCCCCCAGTGGTTCCAACTACTCCTTGATGACTCTTTCACTACTGAACTTGGAAAACAAAACAAACACAAAACAACAAGAATCTGACTCCACACACAGAACAGACGCATACCATCATTACTGATATTTCTCTCGACTCTTCTTTAATTTCTGACAATTGTGGGGACGCCTCCAAGTCTCCTACAGCATAGTCTGGAGGCTGATCTGGAAGTTCTTTCATTTCTGCATCAGCATTTTCTCTACTATCAGACAGCGAGTCAAGAATGTGATCAGCACTGTAATCCTCTCCGCAATCTCCAGCATTGCTGTTGTCTATTTCGGCTTCATCCAACACGCTAATATCCATCATGTCAATGTCTTGCAAGTTATCCAAACTTGTTTCAATGTCCTCCTGTAAAAAGAAAGAAAAAAAAAAAAAAAGCATATATAAAAGTTATTGTAGCTTAGAAACAACGCTGCTCTTTCTTCACTTCCAGCACAGCTCTGCATACCTGCCCGTCTCCAGAATCCTCCTCCAGGCCGTTGTCTTCAGCTCCCTCTTCGTCTGGTCTACGTCCTAATTGCATTGATTGTTAGAATAGAAGAAGTTACAAATATATAGTTTTCAAGTTATGCATTTTCATCATAACAGGCATTCTATCCTACTTGGCTATCCACTTTTTCCTCATTTTCCAAAATTGAGCATTTCTATGCTTTCTATACCAGTAAGGCAGCACAGCACAAGCTCTGACACAGGTTTTGAGCAGCACCAAGCACCCCTTACATCTGACTGAGTAGAAATCGCAGTTATCTATCTCAAATGTTCATTCTTTCAGAAGTGTTTCCAGGAAAGAAGAAAAAAAAACAAAAAAAACAGATAGTGATAGAACAACAGGGAATGGTTTTAACTTAAGACTAAGGAAGTTTAGGTTGGATATCAGGAGGAAGTTTTCTACCCAGAGGGTGGTGAGGCACTGGCACAGGTTGCCCAAGGAGGCTGTGGATGCCCCAGCCCTGCAGGCATTCAAGGCCAGGCTGGATGTGGCTCTGGGCAGCCTGGGCTGCTGGCTGGTGACCTGCACACAGCAGGGGTTGGAATTGGATGAGCGTTGTGCTGCTTTGCAACCCAGGCCATTGTAGGATTCTGTGACTGACAGACAGCAACGTATATTTCAGACTAAGCTCTGGAATAAACAGCCTACAGCTGTTTATGTGGGTGGATAGCGACAGAAGAAGGGGGAATGGTTTTAAACTGAGCAGGGGGTTGGAACTGGATGAGCACTGTGCTCCTTCTCAACCCAGGCCATTCTATAAGAAGGAAAACTGTCTGTATCCAATTGTGGTAAGCACTGATTGCAAAACGTTCATTGCTACAATCAAACTGAGCACTTTTCCTAAAGGAAAAGCAAATCGAGGAGAAAAATAATAAAAAAAAAAAAAAAAAAAAAAAAAAAAAAATCAAGATTGCATTAATGGGTAATAACTATTAGAAAACCCAAAGAGAAGAGGAGCAGAAATCCTCTCTTCACCGCCTGTACCTTTGCTGCTTCTTTTTGGGGTTCTCTTCATTGCGCTTTCAGAGACCACGGGTATTTCGTCAGGATTCCCCCCTTCCTCCTCGATGGCCTGTGGGGAACAGAAGGCGACAGTTAGGGACGGCACGGCCCGCAGCTGCAGCACGGAGGAGCCCCGTGCCCGGAGGCGTTCAGAACCGTAGAGAAGTGACACTGCGAGCCCCCGAAGCCGAGCGGAAGAGTCGTTTAAGAAGAGCCCACCCTTAACAGCCGCACAGCTACCCCTGCAGATCCACCTCGAAGTGAGATATTCCGTGATTTTACACCGCCCTCAAACCTCGCATCCCACAGAGGGCCGCTCGCAGTGCCCACCGCAGCGCTGCAGCCCCGCCGCTCCCTCACAGCCCGGCTGCCCTCAGCGTCGCTTTGGCGCCATTTTCCCCTCAGCGCCGCGCACGCGCCGTGTAAGCGCCCCCCCCCCCCCCCCCGGCAGCGCTCCCGCTCACCTTCCTCAGCCGCTCCGTCAGGACGCTCTTGTTCCCACCGCTATCCAAACTGCGCCGCTTCAGCTCCGCCCGCAGATCGATCACGCGCAGCTCGCTCAGCCGACGGGTTTCGGGCTCAGAGCTCGGCGTTCCGCACCCGCTCAGGGACACGTATTCACCCTGCCCAGTCGCTGAGTGACTCTCCGCCATAGAGCCGTTGTCTCGACTGAGAACGACGGGGTGAAAACAACGGCGCGAAATGCGGTCGCAACACAAAATGGTGGCGAAAGCGCTGAGGAGAAGGGGAGGGAGGGAGCGAGCGCAGCCCGCACGCGCGGAGAGCCCGCAGCACCGAGTGAGGGGCGCCGCGCATGCGCACGAAAGATGCCGCACGCTCCGGAGATGCGCATGCGCAGTATTACGCTTGCCCCTCGCCGAGCAGGCGCAGTTGTGCTATCGGCGGCGCCACGCAGCCGCAGTGCCTCCCAGAGCGCAGGCGCATGCGCAGAGGCTGGCGAGCTGCCCTCAGGCGCGTACGGGGCGCACCGCTGCGCTTCGCATCTCCCCCAGGCTCCGCCTTCCCCCTCCCTCCGCCATTCGTCGCCCTTCTCGCTGAGTTTGCGCGGAGTAGGCCTTTTTTTTTTTTTGCTTTTTTTTTTTTTCCCCTTTTTTTTTTTTTTTTCCCCTTTCCCTCAGCGCGTCTCGGCTTCCCCACCATTTTGTGCCGCGATCACAAGGTTAGCTGTGGGAGCGCGCCGTAACCTCCCTCGCGTTCGGGCTCGCAACGGGACCTCGAAGGGGCCTTGATGGCGGAGAGTCAATCAGCGGCCGGGCTGGGGGAGCTGACATCCCCCGGAGGGGCCGCAGCGCTCGGCTCGGAACCCGAAACCCGGCGGCTGAGCGAGCTGCGGGTCATCGATCTGCGGGCAGAGCTGAAGCGCCGCAACCTGGACACGGGCGGCAACAAGAGCGTGCTGATGGAGCGGCTGAGGAAGGTGAGCGAGGCGCCGAGCGGGGGGGGAAAACGGGCGGGGGGGGGAAGGGGGGGGGCGGGGGAGCCTCATCCGGGTCCTTTGTCCCACGGCCCAGGGCCGTTGGCGCATGCGCGGTTGGCGCGGCGCCGCATTGAGGGCAGCGCGGGGCGGGGGCCGGGCCGTCCCCGTTCTCCCGTCCGCTCCGTCGGCGCGATTCCCTTTCCGTGCTCGTCTTCCCTCCGCGCGCCCTTCGTTCGGTTCTTCCATCTCTCCTGCGTGGCTCTCAGCAGGCTGGGCCGGCTGCGGATCTCGAGTCCTTTGTGGCTTCTCACAGACGCGGCCCCGTTCGTTGCAGGGGAGGTGTGCTTGATGGCCGTTACCTTCCAGCTCGATCAGTTCTACGATCGGAACACGGGGATCGTTAAGTCCAACCCCGGGGTCCACACAGCACCACCCGAAACCCAAACCCAATCTGTGCTGTAAAGCTTTGCGTATAAAGCTATGCGGATCTGCACCCCTGGATTGCATCTCAGTGCGACTGCGGAGCTGTTTTGTAGCACAGTTTGTCTCTGACGGGGCTGCGTGAGCTGGGAGCCCCATCTGACAAAGCGCACGTTGTGGCAGTACAACAGGGCTGCATTGCTGTCTCCCTCAGGCTATTGAGGACGAAGGAGGAGATCCGGATGAAATTCCCATGGCTTCAGAACTGACCAACAAGAGGCTGTCAAAAAGAATGAGCAAAGGTACAGGGTGCAAAATACAGCGTCTTCTTTTTGGTGCTTTTTTATGGAAAATAGTAAAACTATTTCAACACCAGTATGACACCCAGGTGTTCTGTTTGCATGTCTTGGAACCTTGTTCACGCTCGTGCTGTGGATTTGTGTTGACTGTGTTGTATTCTCATCTTCAGCTAAATCCAGATAGGGCTTCTGAATCAGGATCTTAATGATTATTAATTGAAACAGCATTGCCTAGATAAGTTTGCAAAGAGTAGCTACGTTATGAAATATAACTTCAGTTATATTATTTGTAGGTAGAAAATCAGAAGAGGAAGGGTTGGAAGACAATGGGCTGGAAGAAAACTCCAGAGATGGGCAGGTAGGTGAAAGCATGATTGCGGTTTCTAAGTACGTGTGTCATTAAAATGACAGTAAACACAAGTCTGCCCTTTTCCTTTATTTAGGAGGATATTGAAGCAAGCCTGGATACCTTACAAGACATCGACATGATGGATATTAGTGTGTTAGATGAGGCTGAAATAGACAACAGCAGTGCTGTGGACTGTGGAGAAGACTATAGTCCTGATAACATTCTGGATTCACTGTCTGATAATAAAGACAATGTTGATGCTGAAATGAAAGAACTTCCAGATCAGCTAACAGAAAACGAGGTAAGTAGAGGTCCTTGCAAATGTAACAAGTGTTTGGGAGGTGGAGGCTTTTCTTTGGTGTAATGCAATATAGGATGTGTGTAGAACATGGATTCTGGTTCATATTAGCAGCTCTTGTGTCCTACCAGAGGTATAAAGGCTGACAGCAGCACGTTTACCACTTGCTTTGCTGTGCAGTGACACCTCTGGGCTGAAAGCAGTTGTTGGTTTCACTGTTCCCTGTTGCCATTGATGCTTGCTAGAGTGTGTGTGCATTAATGGATGCATGCACACAGATGTGCACCCACCCATCTAAATAACTGCATATGCGAAGAAAGAAATTCATTTTCAACTTACAATTTAGAACTCTTTTCTGCAGAAATGATGTTATGAAGAAATGATGTTGTGTAGGTTATTAAAATGCTTATGGATCGGGGATTGCCCTTGCCTGGCAGTGCCAAACTTTTGGTGTAGCTTAGAGAGCAAGTTGGGGTATCTCCTATACAGACTGCAGCTGCTGAATGGGCGCAGTGGTTGTGTGGTATGGTTACTCCCCACACAAAAAGCACTCTTTCCTTGTGTATTTGCTTTAGGCTTCTCATGTCTGTCTCAGCTTTTTGCCATGTGAGAAGCAAGGTGATTGCAGAAACACCCATTAACCTGAAAGGCCAGTTGGCTTTCTTTCAATTGGAGCTGTTGAGAATCATAACCAGTGAGGTTTTGGTTGAGGCTTCAATCAAATAGAGCTCCAGCAGCTCTTAGGAACGGAGATGTGGGGGGCGTTTTGTCATTGGCAAAGTGGAGACTTAAATCAACTTCACTTCTAACGCCTTGAAGGTAGAAGGTAAAGAAATAAAGAAATGAAAACAAAAAATATGGTGGGAAAATGGAGAATTTCTAAATCAAAGCATCTTTAAAGCATACTTTAATCTCAGTGATGAAAGGTTACTGGAAAGAGTGCTCTCCTGCTCGTATTTAATGCTGAAGAACATTTCTCTCTTGCTCTTCTTGGGTTGTGCTCAGAAGCAGTAATATTGGAAAATGCTGCTGATGTTGGTGCTCAGGATGTGGTGCTGTTGCTCTGGGCTGTGCACTCCTTGCTGTGTAAGGAGTACTCTAATTGCTTTTTTACTCTTCTAGGAAGATTATGATGAAATTGAAAACAATGTAGATTCCTCTTCTGATTTAATTGAAATGAAGGTAAATTGAAAACGTAACTCGCAGATACTTTTTAAATGCTGTTCACTCTGTTTGTACCGTTGGCCATAGTGTGAGCTGTGACAGAACCACGGGCTGAGTGCTCGCACACAATCCACTCTGTCAAGTGAGGATGCCCCGAGTTGTTTCCTTGTTGTTTTCTTCCCTCCCCGCTTGGCCAAATTCAGGAGACTTCCTCCACTTTTGCTCTGGCACTGCAAAGGAAACAGGCCTTCAGAAAGGCAGAGCGAAAGCACTGTGATGGCTTTTCTTACTTTGGAAAAACGAAATATGCTTGAAAAGTTTCACAGCTGATTGATTTTCCTTTCCTGCTGATGATATCCAGCAGCAGCCAGGTTTCGTTTTCACGCTGTGGTACCCAGAGGAACCTTTTTGCCCCCTTTTCTCTAATATTCCCAGTTACGAGGCGAATAGTGGCTGAAATTTGGGCTTTAGTCAAAAAAAGTTACGTAGATTATTAATTTGCAATGGATGGTGAAAAGCAGTGCTAAGAGCAGCAGGTGCATTGGCATACGCTTACATCTCACGGGGGGGGTAGGAGGGGGTGCAGTGATGCTGTGTAACAAAGTACATTGCATAAAATCCTTATTCTGTGTTTATTTCCCAAACAGAAAATGGAGAAACTACACTTGGAGCCAGGTACTGTTAAAGAAAAGCATATTCCTGTCTTTTCAACTAATGCTTTTTAAACCATTAACTGTTTAAAACAAACAAACAAACATAGAGTTTGCGTTATTCTTATGATGGACAACCCAGATCGTGCAGGGTCATAGAGATTGGAAACCCAATCATATCCCCAGATCTGTCAAGTGATGCTTGTCATCTCTGAAATATTTTCAGTGATATGAAATGGTTTAAAAACCTGTTAAGCTACATAGATGGATGTAGAGAAGGTAATGACAGTTTAAGAGCTAAGCAATCTGCCTCTAAACAGATCTTGTGATATCGCACACACCTTAACTCCTTAGCGAGTAGGGAGCAGTGACAGCAGTAAAAAGACATTGTAGGGCATTAGAATGTAAAGCTTAGTTACTGGATACAGAAGAAAGAAGAGAGTTTCTTCATGGAAATTTCATACAGATACTTTTCACTTTGTGGACTGCAAACACACTCATGCACCATCAGAAGAAGCCCAGGTTTCATGTTGGACTGTCTGCTAAAAGAATGTCACAGAGATTTAAAAATTGAACCCTCAGTGCTTTGCTATGTTCAGTTAAGCGTCTCGGACTGTGGAAGCTAACTAGAGAAGAAACAGCTGAACGATTTCGTGAAGAATATCAAGGATGAGCCAGAAGGTTTTGTTAAATCTGTGGGGGATTTTTCTTCCCTGTTAACGTGTGAGGGCTGATGCAGTAGTG